AAGCACCGTATTCACCTGATATGGCTCCGTCTGACTTTTTTTTATTTCCCAAGTTAAAATTACCACTTCGTGGCAAACGTTTTGAGTCGATAGAAGCCATAAAAGAAAATTCGCTGAATGAGCTAAAGGCCATACCGCAAATAGCCTATGAAAAATGTATGGAAGACTGGGTGAAGCGGTGGAGATGTTGTATTGCAAGCGATGGGGCCTACTTTGAAGGCGATAAAATAAATTTAGATGAATAATTTGTATTTTTTGTTTTATTGACAAATTCCCGATACTTAGTACACAGAATGTACATTAAGGAGCTTAAATTAAAAACAAGGTTTCCCTGTAATCCATAGGTTACGTTAGTAAACGTAAACAATAGTCTACGGGGAACCTAACTTGACTTAAAGGGAATTTTATGAGAAACTTTAACGTAAATCCGTCCGTGTGGTCACAGATTAAGAATAAGAAGTGTCAACGACAACCACGGGATGAATACTGGTGGTATTCATCCCGTGGTTGTCGTAAGAGTCATGTTATGCACGACAAAAGAACTGCAATGAGAAGGAAAACTTACCGTGTTGTTTTTTTTTACATCATAAAAAGCTTTACTGCTCATAGTCCGACAAGATTTGACTTATTTCTAATTAGCTGGTTTGGTCTGGTCAACGCGTACATATCTATTTTCAGAGATAGCTTGATAATTAACCTAGTGGCAATGTTTAAGTTATTAATAATTTAGTGCTACGCATTCTATGTGTGTACAATATAAGCACCGCACTGCATGCCATGAAGTTAAAATCATGATATCAATATTCAAATTAGGTATAACATAATTAATAAAATACGGTAGACAAATTGTTTAAACTATAATTTTAAAAGCCGAAACATATCTTCCTATAAATCATGTCTAAACATATGTGTTTCATTCACTATTGTATGCATATTAACTCTAAAACAACCATGTAAAGTCATTTTTTTATTAAGGTTATTTGTTTGCACATCACAATACTATAACAATTATCACATTTTTTAGAAATTAAGTAATCGTAGGAATGTCAAAGTAGTTTTCAATCTTTATCTCAAATTATTTCGCATAAAAGCCATGCCGTGCGTTGTCTCGATATCCAGAAATCGCTTCACGCAGAGTCAATAGTCGACAATCAGTTTGATACACAATCCGTGAGATACTCGTAAGTTGAACTAATAAAGTAAATTTACTTTTATTGTATTGCTAAGAAGAAAACAAGAAATCTGGTTATTTGTAATCTCAACAACTACTAACAATATACGTTCTACAGTCTAATCCTACGTACGAATTGGGCAAGAGCCAAATTCAAGCTTTGATTGCGACACCGAAGCCCCGGGAGAAATTATACGGCCTCCACGTGGTTTGTTGTTATATTGTATTTGATACAATGTGTTTTGTAAAGTGGTTTATACCTTAGATTAACTGCATAAATTTGCCGATTTAGTGACTTGGAAATTGTTATATTTGTAACTGTGAGCTTCCTCTTGACTCTTTTTATAGAATAGAGTTCTTTAGACGTAAACAAAGTTACAAATTAATGTATGGCACACTCTACTACTACTAACCATTATTGGAATTAATAATGATACCACCAGGGGTGTTATTGCATTTTCCTAACGCTCTCCAGAAGAGAGAATCCTGATTGAAGAATCATTCTTCCATAAGTACCAAAGCAAAATGATGCTTTTAGAGCCAAAAGCTGATGTTAGTTCCGTTCATGATCTTCTTTTTTAGAGATACATTTTACAATAGTTTTTCTGTATATGAGCGCATTCTGAGACAGTGCTAGACATTCCTTAGTATAGACTTCGACTAGTCTAATATTTTCATGACGATTCTGTTTTTAACGAGATCATTTAAAAGGTACAGGCTGGGCTGCAGTTGGAATCGAAAGATCTACTACTTAAAGATTTTTTTGTTTTACAAGCATCTGGGAAAACCATTTTTAAAGGTCAAGTCGAACCTCGAATCTGGACCTGAAATTTGATTTTTTACAAGCAGCCATTTGTTCTCAAATTTTGGTTTTGAACTAGTCAATAGTGGTTGGGTTATTACATACAATCGATTCTTTATGTACTGATAAAAACAAGCCTGGTGGTGTCTGATCTGGCATTTATAAATATTACCTCGCCGAGTTATGAGATTCCCTGCAAACGTTGGCAGTAGTAAACTGCCAATGATGATGATGATTTAATGAATGGCGTACAATAATATACGCTTTGAATTGTTGTAGTTATGGTCAAAATTTCGTGAGGGGTCTAGGGACCCCCGGTCGGAACGAAGTTCCTTTTGCTTTTTGGTAGATGATGATAAGACTATACTACAGGACTAGATACTATTTATATGCAATATAATTATATAGGCACGCTCCGTTCCTGCCGGCCATTGCGTTGCCACCCAGGATGGACGCACGGCCCAACGGCGATGGCCGCTTTGCCTTTGCTTTGCTTTAAACCTCTTATATTTTCTAAATTATTCATTTTAATGATATGATTTTAATCTACATTAAATGCACAACGTATCTAATGTATTTAATTGGATAGGAATTATAATATATTGCTTAAAATAGCTTCGTAAATAACCTAATTTTTTTTGTAATATTTAAAAAATAAAAATGGTTTATCCTTAGGAGATAGACACACAATTCTGTAGTACATTATTTTGGTCTATCTCGTAAGGTTTAGCCAGCGGTTTCGATGTAAGCGCACAAAAACATGTTTTTTTACGACAAATCTTTAAAATTCTAGGATTTTCTCTACTATAAAATGCATGTACACAAAAACCTTTCTCTTGAATCACTTTCTCTATTGGTGATAATCTTATTAAAATCCGTTGCTTAAGAAAAAGTCTCAGAGCGTGAACTTTGTTCCAATACGTTCTATTTGATCTTGAATGTACCAAAGATTTATCTTTAAAAGTCGAAATAGAAGACCTAAATTTGTGGACCCACGACACTTTTACTGGGAACTTGATTCAGGTCATACAATCTGACTTCAGTACGCAACAGCTGATAAGCAATGGTGTACAACTTTTACGTAAAATGATCCATATACATATACTTCAAGGAGTCTAGACTCGAGTAACTCATCACCATCTTCTACGCAACAGTGTCTCATACCGTTGAAACGCACTTTGTTTAAAAAATCGGTCTTTTTGGCCCAGCCTGTATAATCATCTAATAAAACCATTTTGCCCTTTTTGTTGGTCATTGAGATACATCACATTGCAGGTTAAGTTCTGACGTAACGTTAACTAGTATTAATAAAAATAAATACATTTTCATACTGACTAAGAAATCAATGTTATGTTCAGTTATTTTAACGTAACTTTATTCTATTACGAGTATAACAGACGCAGGACTTTTAATATGACTTCGACAACACTTTTGTTTCATAAATTAGAAAATAGTTGAATGACTTTTATTCTGCGCGCCGTGGGTTTCTTAAAAGGTCATTGTTTCGAGTTTGTTTCAAACCAATTTTGAAAATTACATTACAATTTTATTTACTGTTTTCTTTTTAGACTAATTATCCATGCTGTAAATATCTGAAATCCTTAGAGCCTAGTCAGTTGCTAGGACTGCTTAACACGAATAAACCATGAGACAGAGAATAGGGATCAAATTTGTTTTGTTATTATTGAGCAGCTGTTCATAATTTCTCTTATTTGTTATTTCTGAGGTGCGGTGCGGTTATTTCTGTAATAATATTTAAAGAAGTAATATTCAAATTGATTGAATTATCTAAAACAACGCTACTTTATAATAAGAACAGTTCTGAACGATTACCAAAAGTGCATTTCATTAATACAGAATTTGTTGCAGTTTTAAATCGATCAATGCGAATAATTTGATATCAATTCTTCAATCTTGACGGACGCCTCAAGTCCTGGTGATAGTAACCTTGCTTTAATTAACTATAAAAGATGTATTTAGTAATCTTCCCTACACACAGTACTTTACTGTATATTTATTAGGATATCGCGCGAAACACGCTTTTTTCCGACGGTTCTTGCTATAGTTACAGCGGTGTGTGAACATATTCCAATTTTTTATTTGTTAAACTTAATTATCCCAGATCATTCAGTGTTTAATTTATTATTATTTATTTTATATATTTATATTATTTTTATATATTTTATCATAAAAATAATAATTTGACTCTATTATTTATTATATGATCTCTATTATACAAATTTTCTAGCTTGATATTTTATTATTTAACGGCCCTTTACTGGTATAGTACCAGTAAAGGGCCGTTAAATAATAAAATATAGCTATAGCTTTCCTATATGGTAATGTATTGTAAACAAGACAATACTTTAATGTGTTTATGTTGTAGTTAGTAGGTAAAACTAGAAATATTTTGAGTATTTGAATGACTATTAAGTAAAATCGAGTTGTTAAAAGTAGCTTTTATTTGTTCCAGGTTTCGGCCAACATAAAATTGAGAACGCAAATGCTCGTAAACTTAAAGCTTTAAAGCCAAAATAAATTGGTTCTAGCACTTTATAACAGGACAACGCAGTAAAAATGAACAAAACTGAAACAGATGTAAATTACTCAGAACTCTACGTCACTGACAAGATCAATTTGACAGACAGCTTGCCTACTCAACTTAGCTATGAAAACATTATATCAAATAAACTTGTGCAAGCGATTTTCTGCGTAATCTATACAATTATCTTCGTCATTGGGCTCTTAGGCAACTTCCTAGTATGCTTTGTGGTTATCAGAAACAAAGCCATGCAGACTGTTACAAATCTCTTCATCAGCAATTTGGCAGTTTCTGATATTTTGCTTTGCCTTTTTGCTGTTCCATTCACTCCGTTGTACACATTTGGTGGTAATTGGTGTTGGGGTTCCTTGCTCTGCCACATAATGCCTTTTGCACAGGGTTGCAGCGTATACATATCCACATTGACTCTAATGTCTATTGCAATTGATAGGTTTTTTGTAATTATTTATCCCTTTAGACCAAGAATGAAGATTGAAACTTGTTTAATTGTCATTGTAATGATTTGGGTTTTCGCCATAACAGTGACACTGCCATATGCTATATTCATGACGTATTACGATCTAGATATTGGTCGGTACTGTGAAGAGACTTGGCCTACAGAGAGATTACGGCGAATATTTGGCTCCGTTACATCTGTATTACAATTTGTTCTGCCTTTCATAGTGATTGCTTTCTGCTATACCTGTGTCAGTTTCAAATTGAATGACAGGGCTAAAGCAAAAGCCGCTAGCAAAAATTCACGGAAAGAGGAATTGGACAAAAACAGGAAACGACGAACTAACCAAATGCTCATAGCTATGGTCACTATATTTGGCTTATCGTGGCTACCTCTGAATATTATCAATCTTTGCAATGATTATTATATGTACGCCATTCACTTGAAATATTATTACTTGTTGTTTTTTATGGGCCATGTGATCGCTATGTCATCAACTTGCTATAATCCTTTCATATACGCTTGGATGAATGAGAATTTCAGAAAGGAATTTAAGCAATTGATACCATGCATTGACTCGTCAGTGAACTTCAGGGGTAACATGCAGTTAGAGCAGTTGGGAGTTGGTCCATCTGAGAAAACTTTTAACGGTAATACTACGACTGATAGTTACTTGGGTTCTAGTTCTCAACGGGCGACGTCATTCAGACACAAGAGGAAGCCAAGTGCAGCGGCAGACGTAGAAAAGAGTGGAGTGGAATTAAACGAAGACTTACTAAATGTTGATGTGAAGCATTGCCACATTTCTACAAGCTACAATCTGCGAAGAGAGTCTGTTAAGCTGAGGTTAATAAATGAGGAGTCATTTGATTCGACACCGACTCAAAGTCAATTCTAACAGTTGATGTCACGGGTAAGTTCTTTTTTTACGTTTTTTTTACATTGTGGTGAGAAAAATTATTTAAAAGTTCAATCTACAATTAACGATCCTTTTCTAGTGTGACCACGGTTTTGATAACACAGCTTGGGCCATTTGGTCTATACTGCTTACATCTTATGTCGATCTTAATGCATATCCTAATCTAACTTATTAAACATTTTCACATCATTCACATTTTCTAGGTGACAAAGTGAGTGAATTTTGTTTCTTTTTTGTTTTGTAAATAATAACAAGGTTAATGTCAATATATTTCTGCATTACGCTAATGGTACAAGTCCTTATTCTTGAAATCCCTTATGTTAATAATGCGAGTCTCATACATTTTCGTAGTCCATGTTTCGTATATTTACCGTTTTGTATAAAAAATACTGTTCCTTAGGGGAAAAAACTTTTAAGCAGGTGAAGCCGTGGGCAAAAGTTAATTAGTTTGCATATTTTTAAAGAGTAGATCTAAGTACTTAAATCTGAGACAGTCTTTTACCCTATATACTGCACACATCTCACACACGGCCGTCTGATCCCAAACTAGGCAGAGCCTGTGCTATGGTAAAAATACTGCTGATAAAAATACTTATGTATTTCTAAATACATACTTATATATTTTTATACGTTTATATTTTAAATACACACATATTATGGATAAATTGCACCCAGACACAGAACAAATGGCCGTGCTCATCACATAATATTTATCCTGGGTGGGAATCGAACCCACGACCTCCGGCTAGCAGTCAGGGCCACTAACCACTAGACCAACAGGCCCTTTGTCATCTACTTGTAAAGCAGAACTTAAAAAAGTGATATGTTTTCAGGTCTCTTTCACTATTTTTTTTGTATTTCACAGGTGCGACGTTGGCGACGTTCACGTACCCAGATTTGAGAAAGAAATTAAATATTAAGAGTACCCGCTATTTTTGGAGTGAATTTATTTTTTACTAAAATATCTATACCTACTATTGTGCACAATGATTACTGAATTACGCTTATCGATTTACTAACCCTAGATAATTATGAAAAATTAATTTATTACAAAATCCTACACACAATTTAAATTGTCTCTAACGAAAATACGCAACAGTTATAAAGTTTTGTAGAATCCAGTGATGTTTTGCGTGATCCGGTTACGTATTTTCGTGGAGATATTAAAAGGCCTTTTTACTGCCTCAGGTGATCTACATACTGTATAGAATTAGTATTTAACTAGAATACCTAAACCCGTAGCCTTATCGTAGCTATAAGCCAAATCCATTCCTGTAGAAAATAAAAATAGTTTACACAAATATGATAGTTAATTTACTGTTCCTATAAAGCACAATTTTTATAATCCTCAACGGAATTTCTTCTGTAATTCTGTTTTTTCTTCACAATGCAGGAGATTATCGCTAAAAATAATAAACAATCTAATCTGATATCTTTCTATTAAAATTACCTAACACCTGTCATTTTGTTAGTCATGTACAAAGAAGCAATCTAAATGACTTTATGAAGCAATGACTAAAGTGAAGAATCGAGTTATATGAAGAATTGTCTACTATGAGGAATTGAATAATATATGTTTCAATTTTCGTATAGGTACATTGTTAGATATCAGACTAGATTGTCCATTGATATGATTACAATTTTAATCTTTACACGTTAAATCTTATGAATATTGTTCGTGTCTATTGTATGTAGGTGCGTACTTTAAATGATATTATTGTACTTATAAAATAAATGTAAGATTTTCAATATATATACGAGTATATATTAAAATAGTACATGGAACATTATGTATTAATTTCAGATATAATTAGAGACGTAGTAGTTTAGTCTTTTTAGTCACGTACTATGTAAATGTAGGCATACATAATCTCAATTTTTTTTATCAAAAAATTTAATTATTCGGACTTAGGCCCACAATGTTATCTTTGAATTATATAGTACTATCCAATTCGTGTTATGATAAATACTGTTTTCTGATTACTAAATATAAACGTCAATCTATAAAACAGGGATTTTTAGATATGGGTGTTTATTAGGATAGATACTTTTATTATTGTGTTGTAGTTTAACAATTGATTGATATGAATGCACAAAATAGATAAAAGAAATATTGATTTAGAAACAGACATTATTAGTGTGTTATATTTTAAAGCCGTTTCAGAACTTTAAAGATTTTTATCACAGAAAGCATAGCTTTGAAACTTTGGAATTTATTGAATTTTTTTATTACTTGAAATTGTCCATTGAAAGAAAAGGCTTTATGCACACTTCTAAAGTGCACAAAGTCTTTTTTTACTGTATTACAAGTGGACCTTCAATGTTAATACATTATTATTTAATAGTTGTACTTTATCAGTGCTGAAATAAGGGGAAGAAAGGGAAAGAGAGACAGAGAGAGAGAGAGAGAGAGAGAGAGGGGGGGGGGGGGGGGGGGCAGAGAGAGAGGGGGGGGGGCAGAGAGAGAGAGAGAGAGAGAGAGAGAGAGAGAGAGAGAGAGAGAGAGAGAGAGAGAAATAAATAGACTAGGAAGTTCTAAAAACAGAGTGGGGTAAAATAGAAAGGGAAAACAAATAGGAAGAGAAGGAGTAGATGTTAGTCCTCCAGCAAGAGTGTACTTATAGTTATAGAAAATCAAATTTTCCTTTTCATAAGATTGTAAATGGAATAAATATAGATATTAATTCAGGCACTTTGTTACGTAAATGCACCTTTTTAGATTGATTAGAATGGTATTTACAATAAGATAAAAAGCAATCACTTATGTATTCGTCGATTAAAGAGTGGAAAATCTTAGTTAATGGCAAGTTAAAAGAATCACGAAGGAAAATATTAGATCCATAGAGTTATCGGTGAATTTTCGGATTTGTGGCATTAGGTTCGCCGAGCTACGAGTTACAGCCCCATTTTTCTATACCAGACTAGTGGTGGTCCCTAGCTCCCTAGTCGTATCCCTTTCCCGTTTACCTCTTTCATTTGTCTCGTCTGGAAGCCAAAAGTATTTTGCAACATAATTCACTGCGTCGGGTTCAACTAAAGTTGGGAAAAGTCAAAATTTCTAAAGTAAATGCCATATACAATATTAGATTTACGATTCCATGTGCTGATATGTCACTAAAGAGAAGAGTATGTTTCTCTTTCTTTAAATATATATTTTTCAATTTGATTCTTTTTCAATTCTTAAGTACTATAAAGCTAAATTCAGTTTGATGTTAAAATCAATTCTTGATTTTGGCAGCTGCCAAGCTGAAAGCTCGTTGCACTAGAAGGGTCAGAGAGATTTGTCTCAACCATGCAATAATCGACAATAGTGACCAGATCAGCCACAAATTTAACTTGTCAGTAACTATCAAGTAAGTAGAGACAACAGTGTCAAATATTAATGTGAGTCAATGTTTAAGCAATATATTTAGAACTAAGATGGTAGATAATTGTTAGAATTTTGAAATGTATTATGTGTCGTGAGTCCAAATCCAACTCTTAAACAAATTGTACGATTTCCTTTGCAATATCGACAGTGAACAAATATAAGAAATATTTTTATCATGACTCACTAACTTGTATAGATTACTTTCACCAACTTTAAAATGATCTGAGAATAAACGATCCCAAAAGTAATATTATTACTTAAATTTCCAATTTCATACATCAAATGATATTTTCATGAATTAAGTATTTATTTATAAAATTCGTAGATTAACACATTGACCCTAGGGACTCGATATTTGTGTAATTGCAATAAATGATGAAACTGTAAATACCTCTTTAATTTCAAACAACCTTGATATGTTTTACAATAAAAAAGCTTTTTACTTAATTTAAAAAAGCTGTATGTCACAAACGTCTTTTTTTAATTGATAGAATCGATCGATAAATTTATAAAAACAGTTCTCAGCTTAGAAGTTAAAACTTATTTTAAGTTCATAATAAAGTTTTTGATGTCGAACATCTGTCCTCTTGCTTTTCTGCAATCTGTGGCAATCTGTGAAAAGCAGGAAAGTGTGTTAGGAAGAAGAAAGAAAGCCGGAGACCTCATACAGCCATGATTTGACCAATGAACGCCACGCGAATAATAATGCCACACGCCATATGATAATAATAATAATAACTTCACACATCTCACAAACAGCAGTCTGATCCTAAACTAGGTAGTGCCTGTACTATATATATATATAAATATATATATATATATATTGATTCCAATCTACGCCATAGGTGTCTATCCTCATAAAACATTGGGATGGTCTTGGAATGTGACCTCTCCAGGGTATATTTAATGGCGAAAATTTAGAGTAAATTTTAGTCAAATTGGTTGATTGGTTTTAGTTAAATATTGTTATAGAAAGCAAAGAGGAAATCAAATCTCCGTTCCAAGGAGAGGCCTGTGTCCAACTGTAGAATATTAAAGGCTATTTTTTTATAGGTTTACTAGCAACCGAAATTACTAGTATTCCCGTTAACCCCCCCAGCTAAGCTAAATTTTTTGGAGTTTGGAGTGGGTTCACGTCGGTAGTGTACAAGTCAGGATTCGAACCCCTCGATTCGACCTCTTGATCGCAAGTCCAATGCCTTAACCACTAGGCTACCGCCGCTTTATTGATATGACTATTGATGATTATCAATCTGAGGGTTTTTGTAGTCCTTATTGTTATCAAGATATTTTGGTAAAGATCAAGCGCACTGTGAGCAGAAGGACACAATGAGTGGCTGTGACGATGGTGATGATAAATTTAAGTTAGATAGAATACAAAACTGAAAATAAACCATATAATATATATACATTTCTTTAGTAAATATTATTAATTTATTTCTTCAAACAAACGTAGTGTAATGGATCTAAAATTTGAGGAAAATGGCTGGCAGCGGATAGATGTGAACTGTACAAGACTGGGACGGTTAGCATTCCTTGGGGGAGGGACAGTGGAGCAGCAGCAGGAGCAGTGGACGATAGGCTGATGATGATGAACGCGAAGTCGGAC